CACACACATATAAACACACACACACACACACACACACACACAAATAAACACACACACACACACACACACACACAGACAGAGACCTATAGCTTTCCTGCTCTTCCTCTCCAGACAAAACAATGGCAGTGTTGTAAAATAGGTCATCTGCACAGGTCGGTGACAGAGAAACAGACACTCCCAAGGTAAAAGAGGACAGATAAAAATAACCACGCCAGCAAAACAGCCTGTTCTATAAAGACCAGGGTGTGTTTGGAACAGAATACAAGTGTACTGAAAACTGCATTATGCACAGTATGCACTATAATCAGTTTGAATGCTATTTGTGTAGATAGGAGTATATTTCAGTCCTAAAATATGTGTAACTATGCATTATGTAATGATAAACATTTCAAACAGCAGCTACATTGTTGTCACATGATGTCGGTGAGTAGTAGCACATAATTATCTCGAATATAACAAAAAAATCCTATTTTGCCTTTTTGATTATTACATTTTGGCAGTTTTAATCAATTCAGACACACTGGATGGAGACCATCTACATATCACACCTCATGACACACATACAAGGAATCAGACAAGACACGCATAACACAAAAAATACACACATGCTCATGAAAACATGCGGGTTCAATTGCAACAGCGCCTTCTTGAGGCTAAAATACACAAGTGCATGTGACTTTATATAGTGCAGGTGGAGATATGCTGCAAACCAGATGTGTGTGCTTGAGCTACTGTTCAAAAGGGGTGATTTTTTAAAGAAATTATTACTTTTGTTCATCAAGAATACATTAAACTGATCAAAAGTGATAGTAAAGATATTTAGTATGCTACAAAAGGTTCTATTTCAAAGAAATGCTGTTCTTTTGAACTTTCTATTCATCTGTGAATCCTGAAAAATAAAATGTATCACAGTTTTCACAAAAGCATTCAGCAGCACAACTGTTTTCAACATTGATAATAACCAGAAATGCTTCTTGAGCAGTGCATCAGCATATTAGAATGATTTCTGAAGGATCATGTGACACTGAAGACTGGAGTAATGATGCTGGAAATTCAGTCTGATCACAAGAATAAACTACATTTTACTATATATTCACATAGAAAACAGTTAAATTAAATTGTAATAATATTTCACAATATTACTGATTTTACTTTATATTTGATTAAAAAAAATACCAACCACAAATGTTTTAACTGTTTTTAATGTGTTTTTTAAGTTTGCTTGATTATGTGTGTATATGTGTGTTTTGTAAGTCAGACTGTCTGTGTGTGTGTGTGTGTGTGTGTGTGTGTGTGTGTGAGTGAGTGAGTGTGTGAGTGAGTGTGTGTGTGTGTGTGTGTGTTTTATTGTGTAATAGATTGTAAGGGAACTACATGCATATGTCAGTGTGTGAGGAATGTCACTGGTCTACATCCTGAGAGCTTTGAGGATGGATGAGCCAAAATGAAGCTGAAGTTTTCAGTGCTGACATCATTTAAACAATCACACCATCTGCGTCACACAACACACACCCGTGAACTCGTTTCAAATCCTCTCAGACGAAACTGTCACACAATACACCGACTACAATATCAGCTACACTGATTCACATTACACTCTTTATGTTTCTCACATTGTAGAATAACAATAAATAAAAAAGTAGTTAAAAATATGAAATAACAACTTCAATCAGTTGTTAATCAACTTTAATCTAACTTATCTTTATATGATCAGATGTACACCATGTCAGAGAGAATCTGTCAGTTTGGGTCTCCCTAAAGCATGCAGACAAAGCATGTCTAAAGTGAGCCAACAAGCTATCATCGAGACATCTACTTTCAGACCAGGTTTGTGTGTGAGAGGTCAAAAGGTCAGTAAAGAGAGGTACCTGCATCCAGCGGTGAGCTCATCATGAAGCCAGCCGATGATAAAGAGTGTACAGCATCATGTGAGTCCTTTAACAGCGATATAAACACAAAACACACTGACTATAATCACGTAGAGATGCAAAATAAACTAGAGAATCCAAACAGCTGATAAAAACATCACAATAATCCACAAGCGATCCACACCACTCCAGTCCATCAGTTAATGTCTTGTACACTTCCTCCAGTGAAAAAGTCCATCTCCTGTTGTCTCTCACGTCAAAATCCACCAAAATATTTGTTTAGAGCTGTTTTGGACTGTTTTGGCTTGTAAACGGTGCAGATTTCTCTCCTGATACAGACAACTTTTTCAAAACACATTAATGATGGATTTGTTTCTTTTGTCTTCTCAAGACATTAATTGATGCCCTGGAGTGGTTACTTGTGGATTATTGTGATGTGTTTATCAGATGTTTGGACTCTCATTCTGACGGCACCCATTCACTGCAGAGCATCCATTGCTGAGACACTGATGCAATGCTACATTTCTCCAAATCTGATGAAGAAACAAACTCATCTACATCTTGGACGGTCTGAGAGTGGGTTTCAGCAAATTTTAATTTTTGGATGAACTACTTTAAGACAAGACACTACAGGCAAAAACATCTTTGGGCCTATTTGGCTTTTTATAATATGTTGTTTCAGGCTAGTGGAAAGACATCCAAAATACTCATTTAAATGTTTATTTATTACACTATCTATTTGCAGCTGTAGATTTAATGATTTAATGTTATTTATTTAATGTTATATTTATTTAACGTTATTTACTAATGTTATTTAATGTTTAAATATCCATTTCAGCAGCATACATACACCAGATATATATCAGTTACATACACCAAAATTCAAAAGATTTTTACAGAGGGGTTTGTTCATATATCATTCACCTGATTTTATAAAACATTTTATTCCTAAAAAGACAGTGATTTTTTTTTTAATGGCTGTTGACAGTATTTTCTGATTTACAGAGTGATAAAAGGAGATAAACAAAATCCCCTCTTTGACTCTAATATGTCAACAAAATGAAACAAACATTTTGTTTTAATGTTCAGATTTCTGTTCTGGAAATATGTGCATATTTAATTAGATTATGCATTATTTTCATACTTATACCTGCTGACATTTCAGAAAAAAATGCTATTCTTACTGATTTTTTAAATATTTTTAGCAGTTACCTTTCATAATTGTTTTACCCTTTATATTTTACTAAATAGTCTATAATAGGCTGTTTAATGGCAGTTCAATAATAGTGCCAGACACAATAATAGCGCTCATTCACACCCTTATTTATAGCAGACCTGTTGATGTAACCTGTTGATCCCCGTTGCCATGCAGTTCAGAAATGCATGCATCATATGAATGTTATATGCACAGCAATGCAGTAAAGTCAACTGAGATGCCCTGGAGAAACAAGTTCTGTGAGGCGTGCTCTGTGTGTGTGTG